TATAAAAATCAATTGCTCTGTTAGAGGCGAGTCACACGGGGGATTTACTGACCAAATAGAACCGGTGACCTCTAAGGCCTGAAATTCCAGCCGGGCTCAGCCCGTGTCACCCGCTTTGCCTTCACATCTAAGCTAGCAAGGGAATATTGGAGGAGATGGGAGGGTTCTGCCTCTTGGTGTCCTGGCCGACAGACAATTTCCCCCTATTTGGTGGGAATTGTGGTGACAATGTTGTGGGGCATTGCTGTGCGCGGCAGGCAATTTGCACACAGCATGTCCCACAAACGGTCTTCTATTCCCCTCTCATACGCTCCTCTATGCCCCTCCTATTCCTTTCTATATCCCCTATTCCCCTGTTCACCCATCCTAATCCACTCTAAAACTCCTCCATTCCCTCTCTACACCCTCACTGCCCATGTGTGAGTTGCTCCCTGCCATTCTGTTCCCCTCTATTCCCTCCTGTCCCCCTCTATAGCCTTGCAATTCCTCTCTGCTCCCCTCTATACCCTCTCCGCCTTACGTGAGGGAACATTGGAGATCCTCACACTCTGCCCTGCGTGAGGGTCTCTGTGCCCTGTGTGAGGGTTTCGGTGCCCTCTGTGAGGGTCTCTGTGCCCTGTGTGAGGATCTCTGGAGCGACGGCTGAGCTGTGTGTTGTCCACAGGAACAAGGGAAGATCAGCATCGTCTTCAACGTGGGCACAGACGACATTGTGATCAGAGAGGCCAGCGCTGTGGTCAACGACGGCAAGTACCACGTGGCGCGCTTCACCCGCAACGGGGGCAACGCCACACTACAGGTGGACAATTGGACTCCCAACGACTTCTACCCCATGGGTAAGTGAGTACCACCCTCTGCCCCGCGCCCCCCCCCCCACCCCTGGGGATGGGGGCTCAGCCGGGGGCCGGTGGGGGGAGAGGGAGAGACAGCTTTGAAAATGGCTTCAGTCTGTGATGTACGTCTCGTCCGTAACCCTGACACCCCTGGCACCCAAACCACTTGGATTGGCACTCGGAAAGGAGAGGGGGGAGGGGGAGGGAGGAGGGAGGGAACCTTCTTTCTGAAGCCTCCTGGTTCTCCGTGACGCAGCTGGGACCTGCTGTTAGTCTTCCTACGAATAGAGAAATTTGGCTCCAACCTTTGGCTTGGAAGAAGGGAGGGAGGCGTGGGGGGGGGGGTGGTGAGGGAGGGAGGGAGTAGGGTGGGGGGAGGTGGTCAGGAGATTGGAGGGCCTGAAGTTTTACCGTCTGTCCCCCACCCTGCCCCCCCACCCAACCCCCCCTCGCACCTCCGCCACCGTGGGTTTTGTCACAGTCACAGGGCAGGCCCACCGTCCTCACACCCCACCAAATCGTGCCCAGTTGTGAGCAATGGGGTGAGAATTGCCGGGTGGGTCAACATTGCTGGTGTTAATGAACTCGCGATGAGATGTTGGACAGAACTCGAGTGTCGTGATCATATTTGCCAGCGTAACTTTTTGGTGGGGGGGGGGTGTGTGTGAGACGGGGTGGGTGGGGGGGGGGGGTACAGAGGGCGAAACACATTTACGCTGTGATCTTTAATTCCCCCCCACCACGTTGTCCTGCAAAACACACGGTCCCTACACCTTAGAGTAAAACCCCGTGAAGCGCTTTGAGATGTCCTCCTGACGCGAAAGGTGCTGCGACAAACGCTAAGACTAGTGGTAGTATTAATTTCGTGATGGACGAGGAGTGCTCACCCCTCACCACAGCTCTCTACTCTAATCCCCATTCCCTGCTCTCTCTCCCTCTCCCTCTCTCTCTCTCTCTCTCTCCCCCCACCGTGTCTGCGCTGGTGCTCGCTCCCCCCACCGGAGAAATGTGACGCTCTTTTGAGACATCCTTCCCGACGTGAAAGACACTGTATCAGATGTGAAAAGGGAAAACGGGTGGTTTGACAGCGCAACAGGAGGCAAGAAACCAACTGCCCATCGTTATTTCACAGCTTGGAAGCTTTTCTCTCTCCCCCTCCCTCCCCCCGTCCCCCTCTCATCACCTGCCCCCCCATCTGCCCCCCCAGCTACACAACACACAATCTAACAGCGTTCTACATACCCTCCAAGACCTCTAGACCTCGCTCCCCCCCCCCCACTTCTCCCCCCCGCCCCCCTCCCCACACTCGCCCCCATAAAAGTCAACCGAGAAACTTTTATCCGTAACCAAAAAGTTCCCGGATCAATTATGCAACGGAGAGACGACAAGGAAACTCATCTTCACCGCTAGACCGTGGGGGACGGGGAATGGGGTGGGAGGGGGGGGGGGGGGTGGGGGGCGGTGACGGGGTGCCAGGGGGGGGCGGTGGTACGGTGTCAGCATGCTCCACACTCTCTGTGTTACTGTTAATAACGAAGGTGCGCGCAGTCAGTGTTGATGTGCCCTGTGTGTCGTGTCAGTTTGTTTATAACGCCTGTGGGATTGTGGTCGGCGCGGGGGGCGGTGGGGGCGGGCGGGGGGCGGTGGGGGCGGCGGGGCGGGGGGGGCGGTGGGGGGGCGCGGGGCCGCGGGGCGGGGGGGGGGCGGGCGGGGGGGGGGGCGGGGGGGGCGCGGGCGGGGGGGGGCGGTGGGGGCGCGGGCGGGGGGGGGCGCGTTCTGCACGTTTGTTGAACTGTGGACGGCCGTCGAGCGTGTGTGTCAATAGGGAGACATCAAACGGCTCGTTATACATCAGCAGGGCCTCGAAATTCCCCCCCTCCCCCCTCCCCCCTCCCCCGCTCTCACTCCCACTCTCCCCCAACTCTCTCCCCCTCCCTCCCCCACTTTCTCCCTCCCCCACCTCCCTCTCCCTCACTCTCTCCCCTTCCCACCCTCCACTCCCCCCCTTCCCGCGCCCCCGCTCCTTTCTCTCCTCCCCCATTCTCCTGCCCCCCATTATCCCTTACCACTCTCCCCCCCCGCACCCCCCACCACCACTCTCCCCCCACCCCCACCACCACTCTCCCCCCATCCCCCCCCCCACCCCCCACCACCACTCTCCCCACCCCCCACCACCACTCTCCCCCCACCCCCACCACCACTCTCCCCATCCCCCCACCCCACCCCCCCCACCACTCTCCCCCACCCCCACCACCACTCCCCCCACCCCCCACCACCGCTCTCCCCCCCCCACCCCACCACCACTCTCCCCCCCACCCCCCACCACCACTCTCCCCCCCCCCCACCCCCACCACCACTCTCCCCCCTCCACCCCCACCACCACTCTCCCCCCACCCCCACCACCACTCTCTCTCCCCCTGGAATTTGGGGCTTTGGAATTTCAAGTCGGAGCAGAAGTGTGCAAATTTCTCAGGCCTTCGTTTCTTTCTCTCTTTTCGTCCGTTCCTTTATTCTTGTTTTCTCTCTCCCTCTCGTTCTTATTTTCCATCTCTCCGTCCGTCTCTCTTTTTTCTCTCTCTTTCGTCCCTCCTCCGTTTTTCTCTCTCTGTTTTCTCCCTCTTTTGGGTAACAAAACAAACGTTCCGATTTAAAAGATATTTTCCGCAACTGCGGCCCTTTTTAAATCTCAAGTCCAATTAAAATTAAATCTAAATCTAGATTTTATGTATATATATATATATATTTAACAATATTTCACCGGCCGAGAGACTGAGTGAAATTTAGGGTGTCTGATGATATTGAGTCATTTTTCTCCTCTCTCTCTCTCTATTTTATATCATTTGTATATTAAAAAACACGCACATGCACGAGTCACCAACAACAACAATAAAACAAATTGTAATTAACTGTAAGGATGTTCGACGCTAACCCTTGAAGCTGTGGATGGTATTTTTTTCCCCACTCTCTTAAGCTGTCTCTTTAAACTTTAAAGGCAACATTGATAATGAACGACTGGCGATTGCTAAAACGAAAATTCCTAAAAAGTTTCGTGGGATAGTCTTTGATGAATGGCTCCAAGAAAAAGGTAATAAAAATACTCTGTTAAAACCTTAACACTAATAATTTTGCTTGTTTATTACTTCTTTTTCTTTTAAAAAAAACTTTTATACATAAAAAAAAGTTTTGCGATAGAGAGTAACTTTTTTAAAATTAAAAAAAGACAATAATCATTTAAGTCTTGACTTTAACACAGTTAATAACCTTCTCCGAGTGTTTATTTTTTCGCTAAATCATTCTATAACTCATCGTCATTAAATCTTGGTTAAAGGGACTCACACTTCGATAATTGTATGTGAAATTCGTTTTTTTCTAAAAAAAAACCAAAGAGAAAAAAACCTCATCGACATTGATCTGGAATAACGACTGACGCACTGAGATGCACAATAAAAAACAAACTGGTGTCTGAAAGGAAAAAAAGTGGACACTGCCTTTAATGCCAGATTTTAATATTTTATAAATGCCGCAAATTAAATCTGATTTAAACCTTACTTTAACACCTCCGAGAATCTTAATCGCTAAAGTCCCTTTAACACTCATTTTAAGACAGTTAATGTTTCACAGTAACTACTCTTTGGAATTATTGATGCATGACCGACAGACAGATCTATGGTACGGAAAGATACAGGGGTGAAATTTGCCTCCTGTTTCAATGACTTGAATTATTACTAATCAAAAGGCTGCAAATTTCACTCCCCCCCCACCCCCCCCCCCACATGTGAGTGTGAGAGTGGGTATATGTTTGCGTGTGTGTGTGTTTGTACGCGTGACAGAATGCGTTTGTACGTGTGAGAGTGCGCGTGTATGGATGTGTGAGTGTGTGTGTGTGTTTGTATGTGTGAGAGTGTGCGTTTGTATGTGTGAGAGTGCGCGTTTGTGTGTTTGGACGTGTTTGTTTGCGTGTGCATGTGTGCGGTCGTAGGTGTGAAAGTGTGTGCATGTACGAGAGCGCGAGTGGTGTGTGAGAAAGTGTTGGTGTGCTCGTGTGTGTTTGTACGTGTGCGTATGTGTGTGAGTGTGTACGTACGAGAGAGTGTGTTTGTGTATGTATGAGAGAGAGAGTGAGTACGTGTGTGTGAGAGTGTGCGTGTGAGAGGGTATTTGTGTGCGTGTGTGAGTTTTTTTAATTAATGAGGTTTTATAGGGGGGAGTAATATTCATATAGGTGCAGTGTTCACCTCCCTCCCCCCAATCCGTGAGCGAGAGACTGAGAGAAAGAGAGACCGAGAGTGAGAGAGAGATACACAGACCGAGAGAGAGAGAGAGTGAGAGGAGAGAGAGAGAGAGAGAGTGAGAAGGAGATGGGGAGATAGACTTTATGAGTGAGATGGATAGACTGAGCGAGCGGAAGAGAGAGATAAACTGAGTGAGAGAGAGAGAGAGAGATTGAGAGAGGGATAGATTACAACCCCAAGAGAGAGAGAAAGAGACTGCGTGGGGGGGGGAGGAGGGCGTTGGGGGGTGGGGGGTGTGTGTGTGTGTGTGTGTGTGCATATGTGCTTCTGTTTTTCTCCTCTGATACAAGAAAGAAAATTAGCCTCGAAATGCTGGTTAACCGTGGATTTCCCTTTTCTTTGGGTTCAAACATGTTTAAGGTGCAAATTGCGTTTTACGCTCAAGTCGTTCAGGGAGATGGGGAAGGTGGGGGCGGAGGGGAGGGGGGGAGGGGGTTGGTGGGGTGGGGGGGTGGGGTAAACGTGGCCTTTCTGTCGAGCGCAAGATGTGAAAAAAGAGAATATGTAATGAGTTCCCAGCGGAGGGAACCTAAACACAGACACCTCCTCAACAGCTGTGTGCGACCGAGTGTCACACGTGCTGATGTGAGAAGCGTCTTATGCAACATACTCTCAGTGTCCCCCCCCCTCCCTCCCTCCCCACCACCCTCCATCCTTCCCTCCCTGCCCCCCCCCCCCCCCCCACCCCCAGATTGTCCAACTCTCTTCTTGTGAGAGTTATTGCTTTGCGTCGCCGCTTGAAGGGCTGCGAGGAGCGAGTCCCTTCTGGCTCGGGGCTGCGAGGAGCGAAACCTTGCCCAGCCGGGGGGGGGGGTCGGGAGGTGATGAAGCGGGAGGAGTGCGGCAGTGCGGTGGGAAGACCCCCCCCCAGGTCCGGGGCGGGGAGGGTGGGCGAGGCGTGGCCCGCAATCCCACCCACCTCAGCCCGAGCTCGGCGAGGCCCGTCTGTCTTCGAGTTCAAGTCGAAGGCGAAAACGACGGGTTTTTTTTTCTTCCTTTCTGCCCGTCTTAAAAAGAAAAAAGTCGTCTGTCCAGAGAGGGAAATAATGTGTACGGTTGATGAACACGGTGCGGTGGAATGGGTGGAGAGGAGCGGAGGTGGTGGTGTGTTTGGGGGGAGAGTGCGTGGGGGGACGGGGGGTAATCTCGACACCAAACCTACTCCATTGACCTTATGGCTAACCTTGAGCGAAGCCTGAGGTGGTAAACACACGTCCAGTTGGCGGTGAGAGAGGGAGTGCGGTAAGGGAGGAGGGAGAGAGCGAGAGAGAGGGAGAGACAGGGTGAGGGAGAGAGGGGAGGGTGTCAGGAGGAATAAGTGGAGTCCTGTAGCGAGGTGGTTAGAGCGCTCGCCTCGCAAGCGAGAAGCCCCGGGTTCGGGCAGGGCAAAGCCCCAGGCAAGTTTCTTACTCCGCACGCCTCCGGTTACCTCGGGGGTGACTGGGAACCCGGTTATTAGCTTTTCTGGGGGGTAATAATCCCTTTTTTAAAAAAAACTAGTCACTCAATCCACGAGTGCTTGTGGGACGCTGATGTGCGCAATTGGCTGCCGCGTTTCGCCCACAAAACACACGGTCAACCTTAGAACATATCCCGTGAAGCGCTTCGAGGCGTCTCATCTGCGTGAGGAGGCGCGCTACATCGAACACAAGGATTGTTGTTATAGCGGGCGAGGAGAACCGGGCGGAGGAGCTGACCGGCGTTGATGCCTTGTGTTGCAGGCCGCATGCTCACCATCTTCAACACGCAGGCCCAGATCACCATCGGGGGAATGGACAGGAGCCGACCGTACCAGGGACAGATGTCCGGCCTTTACTACAACGGCCTGAAGGTGCTCAACATGGCCGCGGAGCGCCACGCCAACGTCAGGGTGAACGGCACGGTGAGGCTGGTGGGAGAGTCTCCGGCCGTCATCGTGACGGAGCCCACCGCCACGGCAATGCCCCGGGAGATGTCCACCACCATCATGGAGACCACCACTACGATGGCCACCACCACAGCCAGGAATACCAGAGAAACGGAGCGGTACAGCAAGGTAAGGGGGGGTGGGGGGGGGGTGAGGGGAGAGGTGGGGGTGGGGGGCGGAGGACGGGGGAGATTTGTGGGGAGGGGGGTGAGGAGAGAGAGTGGGAGGGAGATGGTGAGTGTAAGAGTTCAACCCTTTAAACGTCCCTCTGGAATAATCACAGACGTCGCTGGGAACACTCCGCAGGTCAGGCAGCATCAGACTCACAGGTCGTGGACCTAAAAGGTTAACTTAACGTTTCCTTTCACGTGAAAGGCGCTGTGTAAATGTCATTTGTTGTTGTGGAGTGTGAGAGGTGAAACCAGCGAGTGTGAGCGGTAATCACAGTGAGTGTGGGAGGTGAAACCCGCGAGTGTGAGCTTTAATCCCAGTGAGTGTGAGAGGTGAAACCAGCGAGTGTGAGACGCACCCCCAGTGAGTGTGAGAGGTGAAACCAGCGAGTGTGAGCGGTAATCCCAGTGAGTGTGAGAGGTGAAACCGGCGAGTGTGAGCTTTAATCACAGTGAGTGTGGAAGGTGAAACCCGCGAGTGTGAGCGGCAGTGAGTGTGAGACGCACCCCCAGTGAGTGTGAGAGGTGAAGGCAGTGAGTGTGAGACGCACCCCCAGCGAGTGTGAGAGGTGAAGGCAGTGAGTGTGAGACGCACCCCCAGCGAGTGTGAGAGGTGAAGGCAGTGAGTGTGAGACGCACCCCCAGTGAGTGTGAGAGGTGAAGGCAGTGAGTGTGAGACGCACCCCCAGCGAGTGTGAGAGGTGAAGTGAGAGCCAGGCTGTGTCAGGACACTACCTCGCTCCCCGGGAGGAATGCTAACAGTGTGTAACTGCAGTGAGAGATGACTTTAATGAGAGTTAATTTGCCGTTAAATGATGTTGTTTTGACGGGAACCTCCTGTAAATGGGAGAGGGGGGGTGGGGAGGGTGGGGGGGGAGGGCTGCTCGTGTGTGTTGATGCGGACGGCAGCCGTGCGTGAATAACGCTCAGTTTCAAAAGAGAAACACGAGGAAATGAGCGAGACATTGGCGTCTCTCCTCTCCCCCCCCACCCGACACACACCGGCCCTTGTCAGGTTCCACTGGCTCCCAGGTACTGAACGGATCGATTTCAAGATCCTCCCACTCGTTTTCAAGCCCCTTCGCGCCCTCACACCTCCCTACTTACCCGATCTGCTTATCACTACCCGCCCCCCCCACCGCCCCCGCGCCGCTGCCGCCGCCGCCGCACTCCACCACCTCCGCTCGGTTGGCTCCGGCCTCTCATTAATGGGAAAACCCGAGGTGGTGTGGGGGGGCTGAGAGCTGAGCGTAAATTCGCTTGCCGTGCTGCCGATGATCCTGGTGTGGGCTGAGACCCCGGGATGAGGGGATGAGGATCTCTCAGTTCGCGACGTCCGGTTGTTGTTCTGAACGCTGTCACAGATCCCTTTATAGAGGACGATACGACGTCACTGGGTTTGGCAAACGCTCTGAGGATGGACGCAGCCTTCGCCCCCCACCCCACCCCCCCCCCCCACCCGGGAAGCTGTTCAGAAATAGGAGCCTCTTCTCTTCCCCTCGCGCTCTCCGGCTCACACGCTCCTTGGATAGAGATCTGTTAGGTCAGGGAATTAAGGGGTACGGGGCGAGTGCGGGTAATTGCCTGCGGTCACTTCTCCCCCCGGCTCCGTCGCCACTGTCAAGCGCTCTGGGACGCTCCCCTGCGTGTAAGGGGGGGGTTCCCTGTGTAAATGCGAGCTGTTGTTGCAATTGAAATTGAGGTACAGGTCAGACATGATCTTACAGAATGGCAGTCGCGCTCTCGTCTCTCGAGTCAGAAGATATCGTGGGTTTCAAACCCCACGTCTGGGCTGACCACCCAGTGCAGTGCTGGTGGGGGGGAGAGAGAGAGAGAGAGAGAGAGAGAGAGAGAGTCGTGTCGTGTAGCCTGAGACGCCGTTCTTTGGTTCAGACGTTAAACCGCTCAGGCGGATGTTAAAGAGAGAGAGAGGGAGGGAGGGAGGGAGGGGGGGTGGGGGGGAGAGTTTCTCTCTCTTCCTGTATCCTTGCTGACAGATAAAGGTCAATCCAAAGGCAAAATACTGCAGATGCTGGAAATCTGAAATAAAAACAGGGAACATCGAACTCATTCACTGCCCTCTCTCCATAGTTGCTGCCTGACCTGCTGATAAAAATCGTTCATTCGCTTCGTGGCTCTTTGTGGGAGGGTGGTAGCTGGGTGGGGGGGGGTGGGAGACACACAGACGTCGCTGTGCGTACTTATCGGGCTGCCTACGTAACACAGTAACTACACGTTGCATTCGAATGAAGTGCAGTGGTCTGAGAGCGCGATAAGCCGCTGCATGAGTTGCGAGGAGCGTTATTGTTGTGAGAGGCCCTTGAAGTAACGAGGTCTGTTCCAATACGCATCGGTCACACTTCAAGTCATCGCAAATGAGATGGAAAATGAGAGACGCATCCCTCGGTGAATTGATGCTCTGCTGTGGAGCATGTCCTTGTGTGCTGAGCTCTCTCTATGCCTGTGCGAGGCTTGTGTTTGTACACTTGAGAGGCAGATGGATGGGTGTATTTTGGCTGTCACCGTCCTTTGATAGCATAATAACAACAACAGTAATCCTCGCATTTGAGACAGCGCCTTCTCACGTCACCGAGACGCCACAAAGCGCTTCACGGAATATCCTGTAAAGCGGATTCGCTGCATATTTTGTGGGTGAAACGCGGCAGCCAGTTTGCGAACAGCAGCGTCCCCACAAACTGGTGGATTGAGTGACCAGATTTATTTATTGGAGGGATTAATACCCCCGGAAAGCGATCTACCAGTCGACTAACAACTGTTTACTTGCTGCGAGCTACAAACAGAGGTGCGTGGAGTAAGGAAACTTGCCTAAGATTTTGCCACGCACTGGAATCGAACCCGGGTCCTCTCGCTTGCGAGGCGAGTGCTCTAACCACTACACTACGGGACGCCTTTCAAGTCTCTGCCCGGCTCAGTGAGTCACGCTCTCTCCTGTGGGTCAGATCATTGTGGATTCCAAGCCCCAACGTCAGGAATTTGACGCTGGAGTGTCGGGGTGGGTGGGGGAGGTGGGGGGGTGGTCTCTGCACTGGCAGAGCTGCTGTCCTTCAGATGAGACGTTGCCCCTTCACTCCCCGTCTTGTGCGCTGTTCAGATCGACGTTAAAGAGCTCCTCAACGGTGTTGGAAAAGAGAAGGGAGTTGCATTTGGCCCACAAATTGGCCCACAAAACACACGGTGAATCCGCTTTACAGCGTATCTGCTTCGAGACACCTCAACGACGTGACAGACGCAGGAATTATTATTATTATTGTAGGACAGCGAGTGTGAGACACTACGTTGCTCAAATGATTAACAGAATCTTTCTTCAAACATTGCGGTGCATTTGCAAAGCGCCTTTTCGTGTATACAGTATATATATCTGTGTGTGTGTGTTTGCGCGCGTGTAAAGCCTCTCTCACCAGAATATTTGTTAAGAGACACTGCAGCAGATCTGCGTTTTAATTACACGCACTCAGCAATACACACCCACACCTCTGCCACAACCCAAAGCTAGTTAGGACAGATCTGCGGGCGTTTGTGTCACCGCGCTAAGGCCTCGCTCGCTCGCTCGCACGCACTGGAGTCCCAGTGAAATATGTCCCTCTCCCCCACACATCACGGCGCTACATAAATTCAGCAGTTAATTAAAAAGTCAGTGTTTCGTACTTTCCCATTTTAATTATTTCTCTTATCAATCCTCCCCACTGACCGTGGTGTCTAAGGAAAGTTGGAGATGGTCCATGTTCTTGTTTGATAACAGCAGCTTATTACTGTGCCCTCCAACTGCCTTCCCCGTTCTGGACAGACCCAGAATAGCTGAGAGCCCGATATCCACACTCACTGATGGTAATAATAATCCTCGCATTTGATACAGCGCCTTATCACGTCTTCCAGACGTCTCAAAGCGCTTCACAGAATGTGCTGTAAAGAGAATCGACTGTGTATTTTGTGGGTGAAACGCGGCAGCCATTTAGTTGCGAGGCCAGTGCTCTCACCACTGAGCTACAGGGCTCCATGATAGGAAAATAGTGCAGATATAAGGTCCGTGTGTTTGTGTAACACAATGTGTTCGAGTTCAAGATCCTCGTCCTCACCTTCAAGGCCATCCATGGCCTCGCCCCCTCCTCCCTCTCTGACCTGCTGACTCCCTACCAACCCGCCCGCTCCCTCCGGGCTGCTCCATGTCTCCCGCCCGACCCTCCCTACCATCGGTGGCCTCTCAGCCCCCCCACTCTGGAAGTCCATCCCACGGTCCCTTGGCCTCGCCTCCTCCGTCGCCTCCTTCAAGACCGGTCTCAAGACCCTTCTCTTCGACCGCGCCTTTGGGTCTCCCTCCCACCTCTCTCTGCCTTCCCTCACCCCTACACCACCCCCCCTTCTCCCCCCGTGCTCGGGCATGACTGACTGTTCAGCGCTTTGGGACGTCCTCCCGACGTGACGGGGCGCTCTATCAATGTCATTATGTTGTTGTTGCTGCTGCGTGTGTGTGTCTCTCTCTCTCGCTTTAACGTCTCATCCGTAAAACGACGCCTCTGACAGTGCGGCACTCCGTCCTCCCCTCCACCACTCCTCCGCCCCCCTTTCCCCCCACCTCGTCTCCCCCTCTCCCACCCCCCCCCACCCCTCCCCGAGCATTCCACTGGCTCCACTTGCTGTTTCCTGAGTGAGGAGAGACGTTAGGAGTGTGCGTGGAGCCTGGGCGGCTGCTGTGCTCTGGGGAACGCGTTCAGTCTCGATTGATTTTCAATGATAAAAGGAACAGTGGCAAGCTCAACGCTGCAATTGACGCTCTGATTGACGTCATCGGCTCTGCCATCCTCCCCTTCCCCCGTCTCTACCTTCCTCCATCCCCTCCCCCAACTCCCCCCTCCGCCCCACCCCCTCCAATGCTGACGTGCGTTCCACTGTCTTGATTCAATATCACTGCCGTAATACAAGGCATATTCTCTCGCCCCCCCA